GTCGTTGGAGCTGTGGCACGCCTGTGCTGGCCCCCTATATCTCTCCCGAAGAGAGGGAGTGTGGTGGTGTACTTTCCTCAGGGTCACTTTGAACATGTCTCAGATTATTCCGCCGCATCTTCCGCTCCTTTTGATCTTCTCCTACGTGTTTGTCGCGTTGCTGATGTCAAACTCCATGTAAGCTTACAATTAAACACGCCAAAATTTTGTTTCTTTTTTCTTGTCACATATTTGTGGATAATTGAAGTAAGTGTGGAAAGAAAATATGCTGGAGTTGTTGTGTGTTGTTACTAATTAAGTGTTGGTTAGTAGTATAAAGGTTCGATATTTTTATCTGTTTTAGGTGGAAGTTATGGTTTTTCTCTTAAATTGTGTTCTTTGTGGCAGGCGGAGGCTGCAAGTGAGAGGTTTACGCGCAGGTCTCTCTGGTTCCTGAAACGCGGTGAGTTCTGTCTGATTTTAGTTTTAAATCTACAAATTTTTCTTTGGTCACAGAGGCTAGAGCTCATCATTTATCTTGTAAAATTGACTGGCTAAGTTGGTTTGTTTTCAGAAACAAAGGGTAGTTATTGATGGAAATTTGTAGTGTGTTGTGTGTTTTTTTTTTTTTGTGGAATTTGATATGCCACGGTGTTATGGTTTTTGTGGTGGTTTGGCTTTAAGTTCTTAAGTGAGTTGATTGTGCCTGAATTTTTGTATTTGTGTAGCAACTGAGAAGAAGTTGCTAGAAGGGAAAATTGAGGGGCATGGGGAGGAGGATGTTGAGGTGGCTGCGAAGTCTTCGACACCCCACATGTTTTGCAAGACCCTTACTGCTTCTGATACTAGCACTCATGGAGGCTTTTCTGTACCTCGTCGGGCTGCAGAGGACTGCTTTCCTCCCTGGTAATTGTAGTGCATTTTCTCCAATGCTCTTTGGCCTTAAAACAGTTAAAAATGAATCATGTGTTTAATGCCTACATCAGATACTGCTTTGAAAATTATGTCTTGATAAAGTAGTTTGTACTATAGGTTATAGTCACAGAGGCTCACAGAGCTTGTAGCGAAGGATCTTCATGGCCTGGAATGGAGATTTCGACACATTTACAGGGGTATGCTGAAAGGGTTAGATTGTTTTTGTAACAGTTATGTTCAATGCCTTTATTACATCATAAAAACTATTGATATTACGGGTTCAAATTTTCTGTGGATCGAGCAGGACAACGCGGAGGCACTTGCTGACTACTGGATGGAGTGCATTTGTAATAAGAAGAAGCTTGTCTCTGGAGATGCGGTGCTTTTCCTGAGGTATGAGACCTTACACCATTGAAATACTAGCTTTTTGATTCTGTATCTTATATTTAACTTTCGCAGAGGTGAAGATGGTGAATTGAGGTTGGGAATACGAAGGGCTCTCAAGTAAAAAGTGGTGCTGCTTTTCCATCTTCGTGCAGCCAGCAGTGAGTCACAGACTATCACGGATGTGGTTAGTGCTATATCATGAGACGTTCTTTCAGCGTTTACTACAATCCAAGGTATTTTGCTGCTCCCTTGTCAGTACTTTTATGAACAATCTGAGAGTTGTGTAATATGTGAATCCATTTATTGGGCTTATATGTGCATACCTACACTAAGCTGCCCCTTTTGGAATGCTGTAACACTATTGTTTACAAAATTATAAAGCTTTTGGATCGGTTTGCTTTCTTATATTTTCTTGCTCAAGTGTACATACTGAACTCTAGAAAGATTAAATTTTTTATAATAAATTTAAGACATTCTAAAAAAGCTAAATCTTGGAGAAACAGTAATCCGACATTCAAACTATCTACACAATCTACCAAAGTTAGTAATTAAGAAAAATCGTATAGTATGTGCAAACAACATATTGTACTTTAAATACTATGCCCTACTTGTGTCATGGTCCATAAACCAGCATTGTCAAATGTATTCTCTAATGCCTAAGGAAATAAAGGTCTGATTTTGTGTACCCTTTGTTACCATTCTTTGTCAATTATCATTCTCATCTTGTACACCATCATCAATACTATTGTATGACCAACATTTTTCTTCCTATAGTTATTAGTAGTAAATTTATTTTATAATTCATAGAGATTAATTTTGTTGATCTTTCTATTGATATCTTATGAATCATCCTATCCTGATGATGTTGTAGGGTAGTGCTCAGAGTTCATAATCCCTGTCCATAAATTCTTGAAGAGCCTTGTCATCATTCTGTTGGAATGAGATTCAAATGCGTTCTGATTTGTTGTACCCTTGTTAGCATTTTTCTTTTATCAATTATCATTTCATCTTGTACCGCCATCATCAAATTAATTGTATGGCCAACATTTTTTTCCTATAGTTATTAGTTAGTAAATTTATTTATATTCATAGAGATTAATTTGTTGATCTTCCTATGATATCTTAATGAATCATCCTATCCTGAGATGTTGTAGGGTAGTGCATCAGAGTTCATAATCCCTGTCCATAAATTCTTGAAGAGCCTTGATCATCATTTTTCTGTTGGAATGAGATTCAAAATGCGTTTTGAAACGAAGATTCTGCAGAGCGAAGGTTTGGCATGTTTTGGCTTGCAGAGAGTTCAATTAACTGGCAATATTAAAATCTTATGTGAAGTCTTTATGGCAGATGCACTGGAATATACTGGAATCAGTGATGTAGATCCTCTTAGATGGCCTGGTCAAAATGGAGATGCCTATTGGTAAGACTTTGTTGATATTTCAAGTAATGTGGTGTACAAGTTTTGGGTTAAAAAATGCCTATATTAGTTTTTGTGTCTGCTTGATAGACATGGGTGTGATATGTCTTATTCATTTGTTTTAGTTTACCATCCTGCTCATGTTGCCCTGCTAATTTTCTAAGGTTAGGTTTTCATGTTCTCTTCTGATGTTGAAATATTGTAGCGTATCTTTGTTACACAATAGGGGTCTATGCAATAATCACACTTTGTGCTTCAATGAAAAATTGGGTTTCTACGAAAAGACACTTATGAAATTGGCAACTGATTAGTTTGGTTTTATGTTTTGTTACTTTTGTAATTTACTTCTTTTTCAAATTTTCATGTTTTTATCTTTTAAATGTTCAGAACCAATGTACTTCCAATTACGAAGTAAACATTGAAAGTGCAATTGTTTTAGCCCTGATGTATATGACGTAATTTGTGCAGTGTGGTTCAATGCACGATAAATCGCTGAAATTACATAGCATTAATATGTAATCTCAGTTGTCGAAAGAGCATTGATCTACAGTTTGGAAGTGTCACGTGTGTAAAAAGTGAGGTGGTGTTGATTTTGGTGAGTCTTGTGGGTGGTAATTTGTGGATATGGTGTGCCACATCTTGCTTATCTTTTCTTTAGCTATATCTAATTTATTCATGTAGGTCATGTAGAGGTAGTTTCCTTCTTCTCACTTGTTATGTATGCCATGCAAGATGTTATTTGGTATATTACAAAAACTTGGGTCTATCTTTCTAGTGGAAAGATCAAGTTGCAAAGTCTTAAAAGGATGATGAATGGTATGCTTTGCAGTCATGATTATTTTCTGTATCACTCAACAGGACATCTATTGCATTCTTGAATAACAATTGATAATTACTTCAATAGTCAGATGTCATGTTTAACATTAGCTAGGCATCTGTCCAGAGTCGTTGTCAATCACACTTCATTCTATGATATTATGGCCTTGATTATGTGTTGGATTGATTGATGGATGTGTTGTCTAAAATTTGAGTTGTCTTACTGGTGGGTTCTTCATGTTTGTTTTGCATACCTTTGGTTCTCTTTGCCTTGCTTTCTCTGCTTTCAGCATCTTGTGGATTCTGACTTTTAATATATGATTATTCAAATAATACGGGTTTTGTAATGTTCACTGTGTCTGTTTTATTTGCAGGTTAGGTGGGATGATAGTGAGGCTAACGGGCACACAAGGGTTTCTCCTTGGGAAATTGAGCAATCTGGTTCTGCTGCTAATTCCAATAGCTTGATCACACCGGTTTGAAGAGAACCAGGATGGGATTGCCTTCAGGGAAACCAGATTTTCCAGTTCCGGTAGGTCTTGTTGACAACAAATATTTCACTCCAACCAGTTGCACTTCCCTGCCCCTGCAGCATTGTTTGACTAATTATGCATATTCTAACAGATGGAATTGGAGTACCAGACTTTGGGAATCTTTGAGGTTCCAGAAGGTCTTGCAAGGTCAAGAAATTTTTGGTTTTAATGGTCTTTATGATGGTGTGATATTCAGAATCTGCAGCCATCTGAAATCAGGAAGTGCCGTCCTGGTTCAAATGGACCTGGGATTGCGCTACAGGAGATGGTATCAGCAACCTTCATGTAAATTCTGGATTTTCTACAAAGGCTGGGCTTTGGTGAATCTTTTGGATTCCGTAAGGTCTGCAAGGTCAAGAAATTATTCCCCAGTCTCCATATGGAAGAGCACCTACTGTTAATGAGGCTCATGGTAATGGCTGTGTTGGAATCAGGAATGGTGGCAGATGCTAGGTTCAAGAAATGGATGGTCTTCTGCAATTCAGGGTTATAGTACTCATATGAGCCCCCTGCACCTTCTGTACAAGTCTCTCACCATCTTCAGTGTTGATGTTCCAGCTGGTAAATAATCCGGTTCCAAACTATAATCCTCCTCTTCATAGCTTGAATGATCAGAAGGGGCCACGAATGGCAATCACAGTGGTTTTCATAGTTCTGAAACAATGGGCAAAAGCAAACATCATCTTCACCTTACGGCTAGTTTCAGGGGGGATGATCCAGGAGGCTTGAATTCTTTAGGCCAGTCAAATGGCATATTCAATTGGGATATACGCTCTTGCCCCTCAGTCAGCATGTAGGGGAGGTCAAGATATAGTTTCCTCATGTAAAAGTAGCTGCAGACTCTTTGGCTTTTGTCTGACCGAGGAAAGACATGTTGCTACTGTGAGGACAACACAGCTCCAGCTACATCTCAGTTGAATCCAGAGCTTCACTTCTTCTCATGTTGGAGAGCATTTCCATCCAAAGCCTCAATGATGACCAAGGCAGTTGGAAAACAACTGTACCAATGTAAGCAACCTTATGCTTGTACGAGATCCGCTTTTTGATATTGCGTAATGTACTTCAGTTGTAGGATAGAAACTGCAGGTTCACAAAAAGGGGAGTGTTGTGGACAATGACTCTTAATTTCTGCATGCTTGATGTGCATAGTGGTGTGATGGGTCGTTATGCTTGTGCGCAATACAAAGGGCTTTTCTAGATGTGGAGAAATAAATGATGGAAGTCATTGCGAGGATGGTGATGATAGAATATAGCTTGTTGGAGATGATTGGTTGCAGTCAGAGCTAACAGCATTTGATTAGGAATGCTTCTGTTTCTGAATTTATTGTTGCAGACCTGCACCCCGTAAGCTGAATAAAGCTAGTTAGTGCACGAGTTTGGAGGGGTTGGCAAATACCATCTCATTTACTTGGTTTTCATGGTCTAATTTAGGATTAGAGTGTTCATTGATTCACTAATTATGATGGGATGATTCTGTATTGTCAAAATTTTGGTAGAATAAAATACTTTTAGCCTCATGGTCTTCTTGAAAATGGGTTTACTGTACCTGAGATGAATTCCTGTGGTTGTAATCTCATTGAAGTTGTTAATTTCTTTCAGGGAATCATCCAGTGTGTTGGAAATTATGATATATACTAATGAAGATGCCAGTAGTAAGCACCTGAGTTTGCAGAAGAAAAATGTGCCTCTAGTTGCTCTAATTATACGTGTGCTGTAACTGATACAATTTAGCTTGAGAGAAAAAAAAAAAAAAAAAAAAAAAAAAGTTGTAATTATTCTTCTGAAGTAACTGTTGATGCTTAACCTTTGGGTATAACAATTTGTATTAACCTTGTAAAAGTTCCTAGTGATTCCCGGATTTGAATACCAGTACTGTAATCAAACTTAAAAGGGTATTGCATAGATGCTTTGTGATACCCTTTATGAAATTCCGAAGGTATTGTTTGTTTTATTCTTCTTAAATTCTAAGTTATATTCAGAATACAAACACTATCAAACAACGATCCCTTTAACGATTGAAAAGTCGAGCTAATGAATGGCGAAATAAATGGCCTCAGGATATGAAGCCCGGGCTGGAAAACAGCTAGAGTAATACAAAACTTTGTTTTAAAACCCGGACCAGCCGGTCGGATCGGGACCTAGCAGCTTTTCCGGTCCGGTTCAAGTCTTAGGGGGGGCTATATTTCACATTTGTAGGGATTCATTTGCAATTTTTCAGTGTGTTTTTAAAATATTTCACATCTGTTTTAAAGCCTGGACCGGCCAGTCAGATCGAGACCTGGTAGCCTTTTCGGTCCGATTCAGGTTTTAGGGGGGGTTTGCTATATTTCACATTTATAGGGGTTAATTGGTAATATTCTAGGGATGTTTTCGAAATATTTCATAAATTTAGAGACTAATTGAATTTATTTGGCAATTTTCAAAATAAATTAAAATTTCAGATTCTAATTAAAACTGACCGGTCCAATCGGTTTGACCAGTCGACCCGTGACTCGGTCACTTTGTTGGGTCTCACAATGGGCCGAATTTTAAAACAATTATGAAATCAAACAAGTAAACACACACAAATATCAAACTAGTAAAGAGAAAGACAAATACATGTTATTTACTTTGGTTCACCCAATTAACAAATTATGTTCAACACAGTCAATATATTGAAATACTGTCTCACCTCACCCCCGAATGTGTCCGCATGATCCCTTATTGTTGAAGTGGTAGACAACTCTAGCACGACTTTATGAACCGTAATATTTAGGTATGAATAGGGAGAGCATTGATTGATGTGAAGGATGCCGTGTTGTGGTGTTTTTAACTTTTAAGAAGAAATGAATGGCATATGGTTATGAGCGTATTATATGCATTGTTTTAAAAACCAGACCGGAGGGCAAACCGCTCTGATGGCCGGGTCACGGTTCAACCGATCCAATCGGTTGGACTGTTGGTTGAACCGATGGTTTGACAGGTTTAAAATCTAACAAAAACACCCATAATAATTACCATTAGACCCTATAGGTTTGAAATCTAGCAAACACAACCTTGGCTAAATGCAAATCAGCGATCGATTGGGAGAGCAGCGGCGACACACCAGGGAGGGTAGATCGGATGATGGGGAGGGTGAATCGACAGCTAGCAAGTAGAGGCATCGCTGGAAAATGGCAGATCGGTGGTGGAAGTCACTGGTCGCGGTTGCTTTTTTTGGTGAGATGACTGGATCTTCGTGAACGACGGCAAGGGAGCTTGGGAGAAGGTAGATCGGTGGCTAAGGAAGCTTGTCGATGTCGGAGAAGGCCGATCGACGCCGGGAAATGGAAGAAAAATCTCGCGGCGAAGGTGGACGACGAAATGTCACACGGCGGTTGGAGATGAAGCGTGACAGCGCCGGAGAAAGTCAGAACTCAGAAGGTGGTTTCCGACAGTAAGGGAAGGTGGAAGGTCGCCGGAAAAGGGGAGGTCATTACCGATTTGCATTTGGCTAGAGGGTGTGTTTATTAGATTTGAAACCTTCAGGGACTGATGGAATAATCAGGGGTGTGTGTGTTATATTTTAAACTTCAAATAGTTAAAAAGAGTGACCTGACTCGGAGAAGGCCCCGGGTCCCTGTCCAACCGGTTGGACTGACCGGTCTGGTCCGGTTTTTAAAACAGTGATTATATGTTTTCAAAATTTGTAAAATGGTCCTCCTCTTAGAATAGGGTGAGGTCCACAAGGCCCAGTCTTGTTGCTTGCCTCGATACATCACTCTGCTTCATATTTTCAACGACAAAATTCACTTAACGTCGCCCCCCATTACATTTACATCTCCATGTTGACTGCTTCTCAGGAGAATCAAAGTACAAAATTCAATTCGAAATATATACTTGGTTTGAAGCCAAAAATGTTATCCACCAGATCCTGATATATGGGATTATGAGGACTTAATTTAATCTTGAATTGTCAACATGTAAACGCGTCTTAGTTATATGGGATTATAAAGACTTAATTTATGCATGGAATATTCAAGTAGTTCGACTGCCAAAGACAAATTTTCATCTTTTAACATCAAAATATATGAACAAATAGAAATTCAATGAGATAATGCTTCACTCTATATAGTCTAGTTGTTTTAATACAAGTAATAGGGAGAACAATTTCGCACAAAAAGATAGTACTCAACCACCACTGGTGGCCTGATAGTAAAAGAGTAAGAGAAGATCTAACATGGTTTCCCATGTTCAAGTCTCCTTGATGATAAAAGAGTAAGAGGAGGATCTAATATGATATCTTTTGAGTTTGAGTCTCTACGCTTGCTAATAGGGGTGGTCACTGAAGCTCTTACTTAGTCGATAGTTTAACGTCCCGAAAGATTAGTTGAAATACACGCAAGCTAGCTTGGACACCCTTGGTTGGTCATATATATATATATAGAGAGAGAGAGAGAGAGAGTGTACTCAATTTTGGTCATGTTTATTTGATTTGGACAATATTTCTTTCAAATACAAATTATGTTGGTGGAGGATTTCAGGATTCTTTGTGTGTAAATTGTTAAACTTAAACATGAAATTTCCGGAAGGTTTTTTTTTGTTATGGGTTTAATTAGGAAATATTCTTGAAATTATACGTAAGAGTATCTACTTTTTGTAAGATAAAATGAGTGGTGACATGTTTGAAAAGTAATTTTCTTTTCAATTATCAAATAAACATTAAAGTCAATTTAATGTTCCTAACCATTTAACTATTCCAGTATTTGGCTGCATATAATGCTCAAATCTTTTCATCCGTTGCAGTGGGCGGTGGCGGTTGTTTCAACCCCTATCAATTTATTAAGCTCATGTGAAACCCCTCTATGTTTGAGGTAACATTAAACCACCCCTGTAATTTTAAAAATCTGAAAAAAAACACCCTTACTACTTTTAGGTTGTTATATAAGAGAAGTTGAAGCCGTAGGAGAAACCACTAACCAGGTATTGTATGTTAATATACACAAACGCATAAGGTGGTCAATGAGGAAGAGTGTATTGGCTATAGTCAAAACGAGATCAAATAAATATATCAATGGACGAAAAACGTGTTTAGTATTAAAACGCCAATATACTAGTTGCTTCATTGGCTACGCTTTAACAAATTGTCTCTTTCCCACGGAAGCCATTCTAATAAATTTCAACCAGTTAATCTTCAATTTGCTCATCTTGAGGGCGGGGCCTCACGTTAAATTTCATGGTCACAGCCTAAGTTCTTGAATCTCAATAATTCAAAGTCCCATGTAAACAAAGATCAGTTCACACAATTGATTTCATCAGCCTGGTAAAGTTTTTCTGAGGCCATAGAATTTGATTCAGACAATAACTTGAACTTCAATTCAAAGACAAATCTAATGAAATCTTCAAATATATGTAAATTAAGCCATATGGAAACATTTTACCCACCCAAATTCCTCTCCCCGCCGTCTGTTTCTTTCTTCTATGGGAAATCTAACAGAAATGTAACAGATGATGATTTTATTGGTGGTTGAATTGATTTTACCAAACACAGCCTCCAGGCCCTCCACTTTCTTTTGTCATTTTTCTTGCCCCCGTCACTGATATCGTATGAGAACTCTGTGGGGTCAGACCAACCAATATATCAGAAACTTAAAGAATTCAACACATAAATATATTAGTATTATAATGGAATTTAGTTATGTTAATTTAGCCGTACATCACTTTCTATCAAAAAATTCTAATATTTTGAAATTTCCTTCAACTGATCTCCTTTCTTCTTCAACTGCATTGTTTAGATTGGCATCAACAGCTATACATAGCTTACACGCAGACGAGGAAAAGCGAGAGAGAGTCAGAGAGAAATGGCTGAAGAGACAACAACTTCACTTCAAAGAACACCAACATGGGCTGTGGCTACTGTTTGTTTCGTCTTGATAACACTTTCCATTCTTATCGACCATTTACTTCATCTTTTAGCTCAGGTAACGACACTATTACTTTACCATATAGGCCGTTGCATGCAACGAAAAATTAATAAACATCATGTAACGGTAACGCTGAAGTTTTATGGTTTTGTTTTTAGTATTTTAATAAGAGGAAGAAGAAGTCCCTTATTCAAGCTCTTGAGAAGATCAAATCAGGTGAGAAAGTAATCAAGAAATGATGCTTTTTTACTTGATGGTTTTTTTTCATGTATAAGTGTGAACTATATATATAAGAGTTTATGTTTGCAGACTTGATGCTCTTGGGTTTCATGTCATTGCTGCTGACTGTGAGTGAAAAGCTTATTGCAAATATTTGTATCCCAACCAGCGTAGCTGAAACTTTTCTGCCTTGCGGAAGAACCGATTCAGATTACTTTAGTGAAGAAGAACTCAAATGTCAGGAACAGGTAATCCCATATTTCAGAAAATTAGAAAGAAATCCCATATATACGATTCATGAACAATGGATTTTCCTTGATATTTAACATAATGTATGAAATGATCCTTGAACAAGTATAAGATGTCCTGAAAATAAAATCATTAGCCAAGAATTACAGTCGAGAAATCTTAGAACGAGACATCACAGCAAACAAACGAAACTATATATGTGGTTCGGTCAAAATGATACTTTAGCTTCATTATTAGAGAGTAAAGGAGCCTTTTGATATATGGGCTAGTTTGGACAGCAGGAAACTCGTTTAAAATGGTGACAATTGAGAACATTCTCATAGATTTTAAAGCTTCAAATTTTGTTAAGTTCTTAGAGTAATGTTGCAAGGGTGAGGTTAAATATTTATGTAATGTGTTTATGTATTGAAAAGCTTCAAGTTTTAACTTTAATGAACTCTAATGTTGGTTTTGGTGTGGGTGCGATTCTTAAACAGGGAAAGGTGTCTTTGCTTTCAAGGGAAGCTGTAAGGCAACTTCAGTATTTGATATTTGTTCTGGCCTTTTTCCATTCTTCATCTTGTGTCCTCACATTCGGTCTTGGCATGGCCAAGGTATTCCTATTCCAATAAGGCAATAAATATTCATCCTTAATTTCTTCTCTCTTTTTCTTGGTCGACAGTTTAATGAATATTCCACAATCTCAATATTTGAACTTTCCATATTTTGCTTCTTGGGATTTTGATTAGGGACTGATTTACTTCAAGCTTTTGACTAACAATAATATGGAAAAATTAACCAAGTCTGAAAAGGCTCTATTTTATAGTCGGTACCAGATTTTTTATAGGGATTCCAGTACATGTTAGTGGGAAAGTTTGACTTGAAGTTTGACAATTTTTTGTTGTGAACCTTCCCAGATGAGGAGTTGGGGATCTTGGGAGTCTGAAACAAGGACAATAGAATATCAATTTACAAATGGTAAGTTAATATATTTTACGCTATTAATTTCATTTCATTTCTGATTCGATTGTTTATGGACCCTCTAATATTTTATTAATCTAAAAAAGAGTAAAACGACTTTCTCCCACCCAAATAATGGTGTGTTTAGTTTACACTTCTACGCCTACATATTTTTAAAACACAATTTTATTACTTAAATTTATATTTCGTTTTCAATTCTAGTGTCGTTGCAACCTCAAACCACCATCATTCTGTTCTTTGATCATCACTTATCAAAACTCATCAAACCCTACTTTCGCCAATCCTGTAATCGTTAGAAATCGAGTGATGAGGGTTTGTATAACTGTCTTTTCCAAATCAAATTCTGATCAATCCTAACCACCAAAAGACTCATCAGTCTCTCCTCTTCAGAAGCCTTAACAACCTAGACTGAGTTCGTTCTCTATTTATTGTTATAATATAAATTTAGATAATAAAATAATATTTTAAAAGTTTATAGGTAGGAAAATATCATTAAATTATTATTTAGATGGGAAAAAATCGTTTAACTCATCTAAAAAACGTAAAAAACTCTGTGCCCCATTTTTATATAACAACTCATGATCTGTTTACCGTCTAACTTGTGTATAGAATAAAAAAACAGAATCATGATTCTACTTATCCTCTTCACGTATAAGAACATATTTTACATTCTCAATCTCTAGCTTGTTGGATTATTAAAAAAATCGAGTTTCTTTAATCTGAAGACTTTGTTCTCCCACTGACCTAACTGTATATGTATGAAGATCCAAGAAGGTTCCGGCTGTTTCATCAAACATCATTTGGGAAGCGACACCTTAAATTTTGGAGTGAAAACAGATTACTTCGTTGGCCGGTTAGTGCATTAATATTGAAAAACTGGCTTCACCATCTGAAACCGTATAACTTATCTAGCTATTAATAATTTTGTCCGTTTCATTTCTTTTTTTCAGGCATATTTTCTGAGACAATTTTATGAACCTGTCTCCAGAACAGATTATTTAACCCTCAGACATGGATTTATTATGGTATTACTCACTCTTTACTGATGAAGTATACCCTGCAATTTTTAAGGATTAATTATTGATTTAAACTAATCTTCATGGTTTTCTCTTGTTCTGTAGGCTCATTTTGCAGGAAATAACTTTGACTTCCAAAAATACATAAAAAGAGCTTTAGAAAAGGACTTTGGAGTGGTCGTTGGAATGAGGTATACATTTAGTACTGCTTGATCCATATATTACATGGAAATATGAGTAGAAAATAATTCTTCATTGCAATCATTTTGGCAGCTTCTGGATTTGGATATTCTCCGTTCTTTTCATCTTCTTCAACGCATATAGTAAGATTGAAACCCCCACTTAAATTATATTTGTAAAATGAACCTCATTTTATTTATTAAGCTAGCTCTGGTTATTCTAACTCCATTTGTATATTGAAACTCTGCAGAATTCCACAGTTATTTGTGGCTTCCCTTTATTCCACTAGTGGTAAGAAAAAAGTAAAACATTATATTAGCATAGGTGTGCTAATTCAAGAACACAGAGTTACAGTAAAAATAATTTTCTATGTTTGCAGATGCTATTACTGGTGGGAACAAAGCTGCAAGCCATAATAACTCAGATGTGCTTAGATAGCCATAACAAATCTCACGTTGTTATAGGGACTTTGCTTGTTCGGCCTAGTGACCGGTACTTCTGGTTTAATAGGCCCAAATTGATTCTACACATCATACACTTCATACTGGTTCAGGTAACTTAATATATTAAATTTAGAATCAGTCCATATTTTTTCTTAGTGTGTTTGGATCAGTTTTGAACTAACTTATCTATATTTTGGGCTCTGCAGAATTCATTTCAGTTGGCATTCTTCACATGGACTTGGGTAAGCATTGTTTGAGGTTCTTTATGTCATAAATTGAACAAACTGAGGTTCATTACTGATTAACTTTGGTTCAAATTACAGTACAAGTTTGGATTAAGATCTTGCTTCCATCGAGAAAACGAAGATATTATCATAAAGTTAGTGTTAGGAGTGTTAGCTCACGTCCTTTGCGGCTATGTGACGTTGCCTCTTTATGCTTTGGTCACACAGGTATACAGAATCGTGTCATTAGTTTTTTATGCTTTTGATTTTATTAACTTAATGATCATCACATTCTTCATTATGATATTTTTTGATGCAATATGAACCAGATGGGATCATCAATGAAGAAAGCTGTTTTCACAGAAAATGTGGTTCAAGGTCTTAAAAACTGGCGACGCAGAGCTAGAAAAAAGTTGAAATCTAGTCACTCTTCAGGACTTTCAGTTGATGCTTCACTTGACACTTCACTTTCCCTTGACACTTCACCTTCTTTCACCCTTGATACTTCATATTCCGTTGACTGCGATCTTCAATTTGATGACACTGAATATGTTGCAGTTGAAATTGATGAAGAAAAAGTTAGCAAAAAACCAGATGAACATCAGAAGATGAATTCATTTGATGGTTTTGCTTTGGCCAATGTAACGCCAAAGTTTGAAGAGAAAAAATAGGCCTATATCTGGAGGGTAGTTTATTTGGTATGCCCACATTGGTGAATTAATGTTATATTTATGATGATTTTGCTGCTATGGGCAAAAATATATAGAGATTGTACAGGTTGTAATTTCCTTTATTCTTTTTGGTTTGACATTATTCAAAGAAGAGCTTAGGAAGCATTTGATTATTGGGTTTAAGCATGCAATTTTTTATTTTTATTTTTTTTTTGGTAACCAGGGTGTCCAGGCCAGTTTGCATGAACTTCAACTAATTTTCAAAGTCTATTAAATACCCTACAAACTCAAAGAACCAGGTAAACCACAATATTATTATGGTAGGTGGCCTTAAGGTTTGAACCAAAAAACTTAAAGAAATGAGCAAACCTCTTTATCGTCAGCCAACCCCTTGGGATTAGATTAGTTGAGGTTTAGCATGCAATTTTGTCTTTGTTAGAATGTGATTTACTCTTGATTTTTTCTGTATTAGTATGTAGATTACCTTACTGTTATTGACTCATCAATCACTTAGCTATTAGCAAGTATTTTTCCAGAATAATTAACAAGCTTGACATTGGCAGAACTAATAAGAGAAATCAAAATGGAATAAAGGTAGCTCAAGGCTTAAACTTCCAAGTTTTGTATCCCAATCTTAATAGCTTATCTTAACCCATCAAACAGAAACAAGGCCACAGGCATATTCTACAAATAACAACAAAATCCCAGAGTACAAATCCTTCATTATAAATGATTCAAGAGGAATGATAGCAATTCAGCTTCAAAGATTAAGTGATTTATTGATGGAGCTTGCAACATTGAGTTGTTCATTCTATGGATAGACTTCAATAAGGGATCTCAAACCAAACATAGGTGTTATCTTGTAGTGACTAAAACCAGCCTCTAAGAATAGCCTTTCCCATTCTTTCTCATTTCTCTCCCTTCCAGTGACAAAAACCATCATCAACATGTCAAATAAGAGCTTTGCTTCTGTTATTTCAGTGCATCTTTCTTTTCATCTATCACCATATCTATGATTATAACCTTCCCTTCTTTGGTTGCCATCGCTTCTCTGCATTTCTTCAGTACCTTCACGCAATCCTCATCACCGAAGGCATGAAACATCCACTGAAGAACAACTCATTAGAAAACTAAAACACTATTCATTGTTTACATATACATGATTTAGATGTTAATGTTCTATCGTGGCCATGTTATAGAGCTTCATTGAACAGTTTGCTTCATCACTTGCCTACGATTTGAATTGGTAAATAAAAGATGCAAACAGATTCAGCTTACTTTTAAACCTGATATGAGAGGTAGAATTGGACAAAGAAACTATCCCAATTTCAGGATTAAAAATTTTCATTGTTGTAGGGGTAGTGCTCAAGTTCATATCCCTGTCCATAAATTCTTGAAGAGCCTTGATCATCATTTTTCTGTTGGAATGAGATTCAAAATGCGTTCTGATTTTGTTGTACCTTTGTTAGCATTTTTCTTTTATCAATTATCTTCTCATCTTGTACCGCCATCATCAAATTACTATTGTATGGCCAACATTTTTCTTCCTATAGTTATTAGTTAGTAAATTTATTTTTTAAATTCATAAGATTAATTTTGTTGATTCTTTCCTATTGATATCTTAATGAATCATCCTATCCTGATGCTGTTGTAGGGGTAGGGCATCAGAGTTCATATCCCTGTCCTAAATTCTTGAAGACCTTGATCATCATTTTTCTGTTGGAATGAGATTCAAAATGCTTTTGAAACGGAAGATTCTGCAGAGCAGGTTTGGCATGTTTTGGCTTGCAAGGAGTTCATTAACTTGGCAATATTAAATTCTTATGTGAAGTCTTTATGGCAGATGCACTGGACTATTACTGGAATCAGTGATGTAGATCCTCTTAGATGGCCTGGTTCAAAATGGAGATGCCTATTGTAGAAGCTTTGTTGATATTTCAAGTATATGTGTGTACAAGTTTTGGTTAAAAATGCCCTATATTAGTTTTGTGTTCTCTTGATAGACATGGGTGTGATATTTCTTATTCATTTGTTTTAGTTTACCATCTGCTCATGTTGCCCTGCTAATTTTCTAAGGTTAGGTTTTCATGTTCTCTTCTGATGTTGAATATTGTAGGTATCTTTGTTACCCATAGGGGTCTATGCATAATCACACTTGTGCTTCAATGAAATTGGGTTTCTACGAAAAGACACTATGAAATTGGCAACTGATTAGTTTGGTTTTATGTTTTGTTACTTTTGTATAATTTACTTCTTTTTCAAATTTTCATGTTTTTATCTTTTAATTGTTCAGAACCCAATGTACTTCCAATTACGAAGTAAACATTGAAAGTGCAATTGTTTTAGCCCTGATGTATATGACGTATTGTGCAGTGTTGGTTCAATGCACGATAATCGCTGAAATTACATAGCATTAATATGTAATCTCAGTTGTCGAAAGAGCATTGATCCTACAGTTTGGAAGTGTCACGTGTGTAAAATGAGGTGGTGTTGATTTTGGTGAGTCTTGTGGCTGGTAATTTGTGGATATGGTGCCCATCTTGCTATCTTTTCTTTAGCTATATCTAATTTATTTCATGTAGGTCATGTAGAGGTAGTTTCCTTCTTCTCACTTGTTATGTAGCCAGGCAAGATGTTATTTGGTATATTACAAAACCTTGGGTCTACTTTTCTAGTGGAAAGATCAAGTTGCAAAGTCTAAAAGGATGATTGAATGGTATGCTTTGCAGTCATGATTATTTTCTGTTCACTCACAAGGCACTCTATTGCATTCTTGAATAACAAATTGATAATTACTTCAATAGTCACGATGTCATGTTTAACATTTAGCTAGGCATCCTGTCCAGAGTCGTTGTCAATCACACTTCTTTCTATGATCACTTATGGCCTTGATATGTGTTTGGATTGATTGAGGATTTTTGTCTAAAATTTGAGTTTGTCTTACGGTGGGTTCTTCATTTTTGTTTTGCATCCCTTTGGTTCTCTTTGCCTTGCTTTCTCTGCTTCAGCATCTTGTGGATTCTGACTTTTAATATAGATTATTCAAATACTACTGGGTTGTATGTTCACTGTTCTGTTTTATTTGCAGGTTAGGTGGGATGATAGTGAGGCTAACGGGCACACAAGGGTTTCTCCTTGGGAAATTGAGCATCTGGTTCTGCTGCTAATTCCAATAGCTTGATCACACCTGTTTGAAGAGAACCAGGATGGGATTGCCTTCAGGGAAACCAGATTTTCCAGTTCCGTAGGTCCTTTGTTGACAACAAATATTTCACTCCAACCATTTGCACTTCTCCTGCCCCTGCAGCATTGTTTGACTAATTATTGCATTATTCTAACAGATGGAATGGGAGTACCGACTTTGGGGAATCTTTGAGGTTCCAGAAGGTCTTGCAAGGTCAAGAAATTTTTGGTTTTAATGGTCTTTATGATGGTGTTGATATTCAGAATCTGCAGCCATCTGAAATCAGGAAGTGCCGTCCTGGTTCAAATGGACCTGGGATTGCTGCACGGAGATGGTATCGCAACCTTCATGTAATTCTGATTTTCTACAAAGGCTTGGGCTTTGGTGAATCTTTTGGATTCCGTAAGGTCTCGCAAGGTCAAGAAATTATTCCCCAGTCTCCATATGGAAGAGCACCTACTGTTAATGAGGCTCATGGTAATGGCTGTGTTGGAATCAGGAATGGTGGTCGATGCTAGGTTCAGAAATGGATGGTCTTCTGCATCAGGGTTATAGTACTCATATGACCCCCCTGCACCTTCTGTACAATTCTCATCACCATCTTCAGTGTTGATGTTCCAGCTGGTAAATAATCCGGTTCCAAACTATATCCTCCTCTCATAGCTTGAATGATCAGAAGGGCCACGAATGGCATCACGTGTTTTTCATAGTTCTGAAAATATGGGCAAAGCAAACATCATCTTCACCTTACGAGCATAGTTTCAGGGGGATGATCCAGGAGGCTTGAATTCTTTAGGCCAGTCAAATGAGCATATTCAACTTGGGATATCACGCCCTCTGCCCTCAGTCAGCATGTAGGGGAGGTCAAGATATTTTCCTCATGTAAAATAGCTGCAGACTCTTTGGCTTTTGTCTGACCGAGGAAAGACATGTTGCTACTGTTGAGGACAACACAGCTCCAGCTACATCTCAGTTGAATCCCAGAGCTTCACTTCTTCCTCATGTTGGAGAGCATTTCCATCCAAAGCCTCCAATGATGCCAAGCATTTGGAAAACAACTGTACCAATGTAAGCAACCTTTATGCTTGTACGAGATCCGCTTTTTGATATTGCGTAATGTACTTCATTGTAGGATAGAAACTGCAGGTTCAAAAAAAGGGAGTGTTTGTGGACAATGACTCTTATTTCTGCATGCTTGATGTGCATAGTGGTGTGATGGTCGTTAATGCTTGTGCGCAGTCACAAGGGCTTTTCTAGATTTGGAGAAAATAAATGATGGAAGTCATTTGCGAATGGGTGGATAGAATATAGCTTGTTGGAGATGATTGGTTGCAGTCAGAGCTAACAGCATTTTGATTAGAATGCTCTGTTTCTGAATTTATTTGTTGCAAGACCTGCTACCCCGTAAGCTGAATTAAGCTAGTTAGTGCCACGAGTTTGGAGGGGTTTGGCAAATACCATCTCATTTACTTCTGGTTTCATGCCTAATTTAGGATTAAGTGTTCATGGATTCACTAATTATGATGGGATGATTCTGTATTGTCAAAATTTTTGGTAGAATAAATCTTTACCTCATGGTCTTCTTGAAAATGGGTTTACTGTACCTGAGATTGAATTCCTTGTGGTTGTATTCTCATTGAAGTTGTTATTTCTTTTTCAGGGAACACCAGTGTGTTGGAAATTATGATTATACAATGAAGATGCCAGTAGTAAGCACCTGAGTTTGCAGAAGAAAAATGTGCCTCAGTTGCCTAATTAACGTGTGCTGTAACTGATACATTTAGCTTGAGAAAAAAAAAAAAAAAAAAAAAAAAAAAAATGGTGTAATTATTCTTCTGAAAACTTGTTGATGCTTAACTTCTTTGGTATAACAATTTGTATAACCTTGTAAAAGTTCCTAGTGATTCCCGGATTTGAACCAGTACTGTAACAAACTTAAAAGGGTATTGCATAGATGCTTTTGTGATACCCTTATGATTCCGAAGGT